TGATGAGGTCTCTATTTTCGCGTTCATAAGATGCACATAGCCCCACTTATATCAGATTTTTTTCAAGTCCACATTTTGCAAATAGCCCCACTTATATCATTCTGTTTTCTTGTCCACATTATGCAAATAGCCCCACTTATATCATTCTGTTTTCTTGTCCCCATTATGCAAATCTGTTTTCTTGTCCACATTATGCAAATAACCCCACTTATTATATCATTCTGTTTTCTTGTCCACATTAAACAGAATGCGCAACAAGGTTGCAACATGATTCCGGCTATAGCAGGCTTATATTGTAATAAATCCCTAAGCCCGATCTCCTACAACCACCACCACCACTGGACTAAGAACAACAATAATTTTAAAAAAATCAATAATACCACCAATAACAAAATAATACTACATGTACCACCACCACCACCACCACCAACAACAACAAAATAATACTACATGTATCACTACCACCACCACCACCAACAACAAAATAATACTACATGTACCATCACCACCACCACCACCACCACCAACAAAAAAGTAGCAAAGACCAAGGAGTAGGAGAGAACTAAAGTTGATTGGTCCGTACATACGAGTAGAAATAAGCTCAACAGCTCAACAGCTCAACAGCTCAACAGCTCAACAGCTCAACAGCTCAACAGCTCAACGTCAGTGTTAAACAAAAGGAAAACCAAGAAAACAAATCTCAGATAATCAAACGGGCCAAAGTTTAATCATCTTGAAGCAACAAACAATGCAGAGAATCCATGCAAATAGCGGAGAGTTATTAAATTTCAAAGACACTGTAAAACAGGTTATTACTTTCCTCAAACATCTAATTAAAAAAAAATAATTGTGAATTGATAGTCACTCGCAAATGCTCCATCCCGATAAAACACAGTTCAGTTAGATACTCAACCCAATGAAAGCAAGCCCCTTATGAATTATCCCGAAAGGTAGATGTTTTCGAGGTGAAAAAATATCAGTAAATGTGAGCAAAAAGTTGCAACAAAAAACCACAAAAAAAAACAAGTAAAAGGGCAAGAAAAAAGACAAAGAATTCAACACAAAATGTTCAAAAGAAATAACAGTAAATGTAACAGTAAAAAAAAGAATCTACACGAGTAAGTTTATCCAAAATGAGATTTATAATAAAAAGAATACATTTTGCACTCCATTACTTTTTCCTTATTGTCATAAAATCATCATTGGGCCTGTCTTTTTGCCTGGTGCAGAAAAGGGTAGACAGTGTGACTGTGAGTGGTAGCGCTAGTGGGATTTGTTATAGAATATACATCTATAATGTATAGTGTGCATAATTTCCTTTGATGTGTGTAGCAGTAATATTGAGTTTGTTTGAGTAAATAAAAGCACATCGACACAATAATGGTCATTTAGTGCTGGGGCAAAGTAAGACAGACAGAAATAAACAACAGAGGGAAAGTAAAGAAGTAAGACCTGCCAGTGGTGACCTCCAACCACTCGTGTTTAGTAACGTGAATAAAGAGAGGAAAAAGAGTTGGGAAAGTAGAAAAATAAAAGGGATTTGGGGTGGGGGAGGGGGGGGAGGGGGAGTAAAAACATGTGGTGGGGCTGGGGGGAAGGGTGGTCGAGAAAGTAAAAACAGAGAATGAGGGGGGGGGGAGGAGAAAGTAAAACTAGAGAGAGAAAAAAGGTGAGGGACTGGGGTTCAAAGAGAGACCTCATATTCAGAAGATCAAATTCTCATAGAAAAAACAAACCCACAGCTACTCCCATGTCAAACTAGCAGAAAAGAACAGAATCACCCCAAAGTCAAACATGAAAGATGTGAGTTTGAAAAACAAACCAAAACAAACAAATGGAAAAAAGAACCAACAATTCTTGGATAACAGACTCAAAACGAACGAATCATGCGGTTAATTACAAATAAAAATAAAAATAATGTTTACGTTATAATCAATATTCAGAAAACCAAAACCCCAAAAAGAACACCCTTTCTGTTGGGAGCAAAACAACAACAGAAAAAAGCCAACAGCAACAACATAGCAACAATAGAAAACATGCCAAAAAAAAAGAAGAAAAAAAACCAACAAAAAAACATGTCATTTACTCTTTTGGAACAAACTTTTCTTCTTTTTTTTTCAGTAGAGGTTTTACGGCGCTCGCAACTGCATAAGGTCATATGAGCGCCAAGGGGTGGATGTCAACAGAGAAGTCCTTACAGGGAATCAGACTTACTCTGCTCACCTCTCTAGCTTCAACAGCACAAAGTCTGCTTCGACTATCAAGGCACCCCGGAAATAGTGGGTCACAAGAGTGTGACAAACGACAAACATACATAAGAAGTAGAGGAAAATGACAATAGTTGGGATTAGGAAAGAAAAAGCAGCAGTTCTCTGAGGTAGATCAGGCACAGTTATGAGCATAACATTGATGAATCAGCCCATTTACAATTCTACTGTGCATGAACGATAAAGGTCCCTTTTCCTCACTTCACCCAGGTGGGAATGGGTACCCGGCTATA